CTAGGGGCACCGAGATGTGAAAGGACGCGTCCACGAGCAGTACACGCTTAGAGATTTTAGGGGATGTGGCTGACATCATAAGCCAGAGTTTCGCACCTCTTCCTATCTCACGGGTGCTGATACATTACTGAATGTGTCAGTCTGTCCTCATGGCCATTCGACTTGACAGCTAGCCACTCCAAATGGTAACTTAAGAAAACAATTTGAATAAGAACTTCACCCTCCAGAAATGTTCATTAGTGTATCTGAAAGTGATAATGTCGGCACTGATTTAGGACAGGGGCTCCGAGAGGAAGAGAACCCCATTTGCCCTATTTTCAAGGGGAATGAGGTAGCTTCAATGGAAGGAATGCCTTTCAAAAAATATGCAGGTCAGGCATATGTGTATCATTTCATATGCCCTCATGACAAGGATGAAGTAGACACTTACGCTATCATTTTAAAACATAAGAACTTCATTTCCTTAAGTGGAGAGCAAATGTTTTGAGAATGATGAGGGCAATGAAGGTACAAATGTGCTTGACACAACTGATGTGTAGGTGGATTGGGATAAGAGTTGTATGAGCCCCCAATAAAGTGATTTTAAAAAATGTCATTTCCAGCTACATCAAAATGCAACTATGGTTCCTATCTACACAACCACTGGTAGAATTGGAATGTATTTTTCTAGCTCCTGATAGGTCACCTTTGACTCCTGGTAACCCCGGGGTCAGAAGAGAACTGCGCTACACAGGATTTTCAGCGCCTGGTCTCTGATAAATAGGTGACTGGGCCCTTCTTCCACCGTTCTTTCTGGATTGACTTTAGACTGTCAGCTTCTGGTAAGTAGTTTGTGTCATCCTGGGATCCCTTGAATGTACATTAGGGTTTCATTCAGGTTTTATTCTCCATGTGGAACTTGCAGAAACCAAGCCACATTGAGTATCATCTAGTTTTTCACATCTGAGCGCTCTCAAAGCGTCCCCAGCTGCTGTCCTGCAGGCCCAAGGAGGAAGGGACCCCGGACCATCATGTTCTCTCCCACTGTCTAATCGCACTGACTTCCCCTCTTCTCTGAGGACATAGCAATGACAATGGCGGTTGGGCAGCTAGAAAACAAAGTGTATTCTTATTCAAAGTTCCCATCTTATCTGAAGTTGGGCTAAAACCACTACGGCAGACAAGTAGGCTTCCTAAAGCAATCAAGCTTCTTGATGTGAAATCCAGCACAAAAATAGCTCCAGAGCGCCACATAAGCATGCTTTCTAACGCTTGTGATGATTCAACAATCAGGGATCTCTCTGAGAAGACGAAGCACTGCAGGATAGCTCTACACTGGATCACATTGGAGTCACCCAATAACAGCCATGCATCGTGTGGAGACCAGAAGGAGCAGGCTGAGTACCAAGAGGCGGCGGGAGCCCAGGGTGTACACAGATTGCTCCCCAGCCTGACTGGGGGGAAGCCTGGAGGTGAGACAAGGAATTTATCCGGAAGAATCTGGAAGCGGTAGTGGTGACGCATTGAGTTGAGAACTGCACGGTCCATAGTTCGAAACCACCGACCCACTCTTTGAGAGCAAGACGGGCTTTCTACTCCTGTAAACAGCTAGTCTTGAAGCTCACAGGGACAGTTCTACTTTGTCCGACAGGTTCTCTCTGGTCCACAATGACTCGATGGCAGTGTTTGGTTTTGGTGTTCGAGACCCCGTTGAGCCTTGCAACTGAGCTACGAGATAACCGTACAGTCTTACCACTCAGTGGTACCGCAAGAGGCTATGGGAGGAGGTCAAGCAGGCTAGCCCATGCCCAGATGTTTCAGGGCATCTTTACGGGCGATCCTCCTGCAGTTCCGCAGCCGTTGAAGCAAGAAATCAACTGTGGATTTACAGGGCTGGCTAAGATTTCAGAGAAGACCAGAGCTTAAAGAAACCTTAGAGGTATAAGAATGTCTTCCCTCTTTGCTAAGGCTAGCAAACAAACAAACAGACAGACAGACAGACAGACAAAGCAGCTGTCCTTTGAGTTGATGCTGATTCATTACAAGTCCATGTCTGTCAGAATAAAAGGGTCCTCTCTAGGGTGTTCAATGGTTGATTTTCTAGAAGCAAAAGACCTGGCTTTGCTTCCTGTAACAGTTCAGGTAATAGCTGAGCTTATTAGCTGTTTGCAAGTCCTAGGGACTCCTTGGATAGGAATGGAAGGTGATCCCCCCCCCCCCGCCCCCCCCCACAAGAAAACTTTATCTGGAAATCTAATATATACCAAAAGCACAAGGGAGACTGCTTGGTCTGGAGCAAAGGGGTGGGAATGGCCTGACGCCTCCCTTACTTCTGTGTGGGTCACTTAAAAAAAGGTGGGACTCTGTGGAAGTCCAGTGCTCAAGTGCCCCACCCACGGCCTATAGAGGAGGGAATGCCGTCAGAGCGGCTACAGGTGCCTGCAAGAGGCAGGGCTCTTGATTTTGTTTGGTCTGGGTTCAAAGGACAGTTCTACTACTTATCACCTTAGAAGCTCAGAAATGAACTTCTCTGGACCGCAGTGTCTTCACGGAGTGAACTATTTATTTCCTCAACAGTAAGCATTAGCGATGAAGGATCATGAGCTGTTCACAGTACACAGTAGCTATTCTGTGGTCTCCGGAGTTTACATCAGGGCACAGGACTATCTAACCCTGGACGGCACGCGGACCAGAACAGGGAGGCGCTGGGTGGTGACACAGTTCAATGCGTCATGGCAGGCTGAAAGGTTTGTGACTCCAACCCACCCAGAGGCACCTGGAAGACAGGCCCAGCCACCTGCCTCCGCCTGTGGAACTGTTGTGCTCTGCACACGTGGGCGCCAGGTGTTAGGAGATGGCAACGAACATCGCTGGTGTCAGGAGCCACGGAGCCGACCCTGACTACGCGCCTGTTACACCTCACAACTGTGCTTTTCTAACAGCTGATTTTTCACAAGTCGACCAGTAGGCCTTTCTTCCAAGGCACCTCTAGGGGGACTTGAACCACCCACCTCCCAGGTAGTAGCCCCATCTGTTAACTGTGCACCACTCAGGGACTCCCATTAGTCGCACAGGTAGGGTTCACTCACTCCAAACGGTGGCTTCCCAGCACCCTGACCATTCCTTCAGTTGGTTCACATATGTCATTACCAATTTTTACTCAGAGCCAAGGGTAAGGGTATTTCCATTTTATTTTGTATCAAAGCCAGACGACCAAACCAAACAGCAACCACAACACAAAAGCAAAACCAAAAAACACTGATGGATTAAAAAAAAATGCGAACAGCAAAGGGGGAGAGCTCATAATTCAACAGTGCTGTCTGCCACAGAACCTAATGAATCCAACTGAAACTTGGGGTGACAGCTTGCTTCATCTCTGGGAAGTCGATCAGTCTACGGCAGAAGGAGGAAATGACTGATCGCGTCAGTATGTTAACACGCACTTGAAGCAAGGAATGCATGTGCAGTATAAAATATACACACATGAAGAAAAGAGACTTCGAAAAGTCCATGGACAAATTCCCTTATCTTTTAATTCAACGTTCCATGAACTTTGGCATGCCTCAGGCATGATAGACAGGCAGAATGACGTGGTTGAATGCGCCATTGCTCATACACACATGTAGCCCATTATATACATACTCATCCTCTACAAACTAGTTTGCCTGGTTCTTTTTATTGACCCAATTCCAATCAAAAGATGCCTGCCTGATTCTCTTCTTTCTTACTTTCTGTTTTAATCGTTTTATTAGGGGCTCATACAACTCTTATCACAATCCACACATACATCTGTTGTGTGAAGCACACGTATACATTCGTTGCCCTCATCATTCTCAAAACTCTCGCTTTCCGCTTGGGCTCCTGGAATCAGCTCCTCAATTTTCTTCCCCTCCCCTCCCTCCCCGCTTGCCCCTACCTCGTGAACTCTTGATAATTTATAAATTATTATGTTGTCATATCTTACACTGCCCGGCGTCTCCCTTCACCCACTTTTCTGTTGCCTGTCCCCCAGGGAAGAAGTTATATGTAGGCCCTCTTCTTTTCTTAAATAACATTACGAGGCTAGCTCCTCTCCACGCTTACAGGAGGGAAATGAAGGATGGAAGGGGTAGTGGAGGAAGGGAACAAGCCTTTCGCTATGTTATTAATTGACTTCTGCAAGCAATGATTCCTTCACAAAGACCAAGTCACGATAGGTATTTAGGTACTTTATCCCTGGGTGATTACGAATGATATAAAAAATCAGAATAAACATACATGCCCATTTCTGTTTATTGCAGGGATAATAAACTTCTCAACTTACAATTGCTACTCCAAATTCTGAAATAGTGGCTTGGGTCTCACTAAGAAATCATTTTATGTTATTAACAGCAGAATCTTTGTAAAGTTCCCCATCAGGCATCTTAAGGGAGGGAAAAAGTAGCAAACTGTAGATGTTTGCTCGATACAGAAAGCTGTAAGCTAGGCAACCGCAGAAGCCTAAAGGGGGAAATGTAAGGGCAAATAATTAACTGTAAAGCAACATACACATGTTACTTTCACTGATGACGATTGATGATAATGACAACATGAGGTACAATATTCTCAGTGATGCTATAGTTTGAGCCGCATACCCCACGGCAACTACAAGGAGTGGATGGTGAACAATTACTAGCTGACTGCAGATTGGCCGGGCTTGGGATAGGCCGAACCACAGGCTCCAGGTCCTACCCCGTAGAACTCAGTAGAAGATTCATTGTGGCCTCAAGCAAGTTTTACTCCTGAATAAAGAGCCACGCTGTTCAATTATTTTTTTAATTTGGGATTTCAAACTTATTCTAACACTTTAAAGAAATGATCTTTTCCGTTTCCTCAGATTTGAATTTACTGCTCAGAGTCATTTTCCTTACACTGCAGTAGAACAATTAAAAATATTCCTCCAGAAAGGATGAAACTAAAAATAATACCCAACAATGTTCAAGTACATAGGTTAAATAAAACTGCTACTAAGACACTGATATTTGAACTAAGTTTGATGTTACCTCTGGGACTCCCAGTTTCCGGCATGCTTCCAAAAAGTTTTCCACATTTCTTCTGCATTTGGCCATGCTAAGTCTGGGCTATAAATACAAAGATGTAAAAATAACATATTATTAAAATAGAAGCTATCTTAAGAAGTACATTTTTTTAGTACTGTGGGTCAAGATTTACAGAGCAAATTAGACTCCCATTGGACAAGTGTCACGTTTTGTGTGTGTGTGTGTGTGTGTGTGTGTGTGTGTGTGACACTAGCGGAAGTCCCCTCAGTGTAATACACGTTATCCTTCCTCCACACACGACTCATTTCCACTTGTCCTTCTGTCCTGCCTTTTGCGCTTTGTTGCTGAGCAAATGGTGTTTTTGGGTCGACTAGGGCTGGCTGTGCATTCAGTGTACTTCTCCTGGCATGAATCATTTTAGAGACCTCTCAAGTGTTTGACTGAAATTTGATCCTCAGAGAGGGTTCAGTTTCGTTTGGAAGGTACCTAAGGGCCAGAGGCTAAAAGGTGCAACGAGCCTCTATCAGACCAGTAAGTCCTTTTCTTGAGTTTTGTGTTTCTCTCTATATATAGACATATATAAAGAGGGAGGACATATACACATATTAACATGATGTTAATGTTATATAATGTTAATAACATCATTAATATGTATATATGTCAAAGAAAAAAAAATGTATATATGTCCTTCCTCTTTGTCCAGGATTCTTCACTGTGATCACTTCCATTATCATCTGATCACAGCACTTGGGAGTGGTAATCAGACACCACCTATGGCTTCAGGGCTTCAGTAGGGGAGGCTGTGAGGAAGTAGACCACTCCTCCTTTGAACTGTTTCCTGAGTCTTGGATTTTCTTTGCTCCCGATAGGGAGGGACTAGTACTTGCATCTTCCACGACTGCTCACAAGTGTTTAAGACCCCAGTTGCTATTTACCAAAGTAGGATATCATTCTCCTTGTGTTATGCCAATGGACTGTGGTCCTAAATTCCCATTCCCACAGGTGGCCTAAGATAGAAAGATGTTTGCAGAACTTTGTTCCCTGGATGCTCTATAATATCCTTGGACATATTTGCACCACACACACATAGATATAGGTATCCTCTGTCAAGCCCATGCATACTTCTGGGCGCACTCTCATTTGCATGTTCACCTGCATCACTTGGTGACTACTGCTTGTCATTATTATCCTTGCTGGACCGTGGATGCAGTAGTCTGACTCCTGTGCATCGGAAAAGTGCTCCCTTGTCATCGGTCATTGGTCCCCTTACTGATATACTGCTGTATGCCGCCTTTCCCTTCAGCCATGTTAATATGTGGCTAATCTCTCGTTAGTGATTTATTCTTCCTTCCACTCCCGTGCCTGGTAATCATCAAAGAATGTTTCTGATTGTATACCTCTGCTTGAATTTATGAGAGTGGTCACAGACAATATTGATTCTTTTTTGACTCAATCACTCAGTATACTATCCTTCAGGTTAATCTTTGTCCTGAGGTGTTTCTCAGATTCTTCATTATTCTTTAATATTGCGTATTCAATTGGGGGATTGACCATATGTATAGTCATATACACACAAATATAAATGTTTGTGTTGTGGCTCTTATTTTTCTAGGAAACATAACAGGTAGTAGGACTGCGGGATCATACAGTATTTTTATTCCAATTTTTTAAGGACACGTCATAATATTTATTACAGTGGCTGTACCATTTTGTAGTCCTACTAGCTGTCTGAGAGTGTTCCAATTCTCTTACATTCTCGTGTGCATTGTTGCTAAGATAAGGTGATAATCATTGTGTTTTCATTTGCATCTCTCTGATGGTTGAAAGGAGGCCTGGTGGTTCTGTGGATTTGGTAATGGGTTGGTACTGCAAGGTCAGAGGTTCAAACCCATCAGCCACTCCACGGAATAAAGATGAGGCTGTCATCTCCCATAGAGATCTACAGTTTCAGATACCTTATAGTGGGTCGCTATGAGTTAGCATCAACTTGATGGAAATGGGTTGGGAAAAGCTGGTACGGAGGCCTGGTGGGATAGTGGGTTCAACATGGGCTGCGACCCACAAAGTCAGTGGTTCAAAGCCACAAAGCTCCTAGGAAGAAAGGTGAAGTTTTCTGCTCTCAAGGATTTATAACCTTGGAAATCCTGGGGAGTCTGACAGGGTTGCTCTAAGTCAGAATCCACTCAATTGCAATGGGTTAATGATCGATGATTGTAAACATTTTTTTTTTTAATGTTTGTTGGCTGCCTGGATGGCTTCTTTGGTGAAGTATCTCATCATGGACTCTACCCATTTTTTAATTGGATTGTCTTTTTGATGTGGAAGTACTGCAGCTTCCTAGAAATGTTAGAGGTCAGCTCTTTGTCAGATATGCTGTAGCTAAACTTCATGTCCCATGTGGAGGTTTTATTTTGGCGAAGTCTTTTGAGAAATACATGTGCTTAATATTTAGGATATCTCCATCGCCTAGTTTATCTTGTTTTGTGTATTTTTATTATGTTGGATAGAATATTTATGCCATACGTTAAGGCTCTTACATTTGCCTCTAGTGGTTTGTATAGTCTCAAAGTTTTACATGTAGATCTTCAATCCATCTTCAGTTAGTTCTTGTGAATGAATGTGAAGTCCGGATTGTGCTTCATTATTCTGCAGGTGAAACTTTCTCTGAAAGTTTCCAGATTAGGTGTGTGGGCCAGGACTTTTAGACTGTTGTTGGGATTTTCCAAATGATCTGTTCAATTTCTGCTTCCTTTCGGGTCTGTTCAAGTCGTCTACTTTAGTCTGTGCTGGGTGATGCTGGGAATGTGTTGCTATAGAAACGGATCCATTCTCAGAGGTTTTCAGAGGTGTTGGAGGAACGCTCTTCACAGTATCCGAATTTCTGCTATTGGCATCTCCTCCTTTTTCCTTTACTAGATTTGCTGTTTGATGAATCCTCTCACTAAAGAACAACTTCTTGTCCTGATGACTTCATATTGATCTGGTTTAATTTATTCTTGCTCTAATCGATTGCTTCCTTTCTTCCAACAACCTTTCCTTCTAATTGCTAGTGTTAAGATATTGCTTTTAGTAATTTCTTTTTTTTTTTGAGGTGTGTTGCTTCGTATAAATTGACCTCTGATCATTGCTATTGCTGTGTCCCCAAGATTTTGGTATTTGGATTTGCATTCTTGTTTGATTCCAGAAATTTATTTATGTATTTCACTCTTTATTACTCAGTAGCTTTTGAACAAGGCATCACCCAGTTTCCATGTTTGAGCTTTCGTTTACCTTGCTCTTTCCTATTACTGATTTCTAATTTTAAGTCTTCTGGACTGAGAAGATGCTTCGCACTATTGCAAGGCTTTGCACTTCCTACAGTGACTGAGTGTTGCTTTGTGGCCAAACATATGACCGCTTTCAGAGAATGTTCCATGTGCAATGTAAAAAAATAAATGCTGTGGTGTTGCTAAATGGAAATGTTCCACATGTCGATGAAGTCCAGTTAATTGATTCTACATGACCCAAGTACCAGAGAATACTGGTAGACATCAGAGAAAACTTTCTTACACACAATATCAAAATGTGAAGCCATTGTTTCCTAATATAGCTTCGATTGTCTGAAGGTGATGTTTTCGCCTTTCTAAAATCTTCCTCAAATAATTCTGCACTCTGATACGGACCGCATTAAAATTGCACGTTTGGCATCCTTGAGGGAGTAAATTTGTGTTCCTTTCTAATTTTCTTGAGCTTGGGGAATGAACCGAAGCACCAAGGGGCAAGATCAGGGCTGTGGGTTGGATGGGGGAAGGTTTCCCACATGCCTTGGAGGACAGTCCTTGCTACCTGTGAGGAATGAGCAGGTGCATGGTCCTGAGGGGAAAAATTCCTCGGTGCACCTTTTCCAATCTTTCTCACTCATGTAGTTTTCCGCTTCTTTGAAATTCTTCATACTATGCGACCATGATTGTTGTGTCTGTCAAGGAAACCTATTGAGATGATCCCTTTAGAATTTCCCCCAAAGAGGTGCCATGACCTTCTGAGATGGCTTCTCTGTCTTGAAAAGTCTGACCCAGCAGACCCTCTCAGAAGCGGCGATGTTAGTGGGACCGTGTTTTTGGAAGGCAATCTAATGAGACTGAGACAGGTGTATTGCTGAGAGAACTTGTCTGCAGCCGTCTACTGATCAATAAAATACGTTTCACCATGTTTTGCTTGATATAAACCGTGCATGTGTGAACTGAAATGTATGTATGAAAAATGAAGTATGTTTTCGTTTACTTACTCAGGTATAAAATTCAATGATAATGGATGATGGTTATAGATCAACATGCCCATCACTATGCATATATGTGGCATCCCTTGTAATCCTGACAAGAGTCTGACCATGACAGAGAAGAGCAAATGGAATTCAAGAGGGGTTCAGTAATGTGCTGAGTCTCAAAGCTTACAAGTACACCTGTGGTTTTCAGCCAAGCCATTTAACTCGTATTTCTAAACTCTTACCCCTTTCGGCCTCTCCCAACAAATAGGAAATTGTGCTGAAAGATTTTCTTTTGTCTCCACATGGCTAAAGCCTACACTCTGTTCCAAGGTGAGCTCATGCCCAATTCTCTCACCCTCACCTGAATTACCAGAAGACTGAAGCAAGCCCTCTTCTGGCTTCCAACATGCTCTAGATCAGGGGTCCTCAAACTTTTTAAACAGGGGGCCAGTTCACTGTCCCTCAGACCCGTTGGAGGGCTGGATTATAGTTTAAAAAAAAACTACGAACAAATTCCTATGCACACTGCACATAGCTTATTTTGAAGTAAATAAACAAAAGGGGGAAAACACCCAGCAGGCTGGATCAATGTCCTTCGCGGGCCACATGTGGCCGTGGGCCGTAGTTTGAGGACCCCTGCTCTAGATCTACAGGAAGATTTCCCCATGGGGAATCCTTATGTGGGACTGACAGGTAAGTGCTTGGCTGATCACTGAAAGACTGGCGCTTCAAGTCTATCCAGAGGTGCCTTCGAGAAAGACCTGCTAATTTAATTCTGAAAAATCTCAGCCGTCGAAACCTCCGTTTCACCATTCTAGTGACACACATGGGGTCATCATGACTTTGGGTGCCCTTAATGGTCACCTGCTTAGACTGACTCTCCCATGGACAGGGTTTGCCTTCCCTGCAGAAGACATGAGGACTTTGGGGCAGGGATGGCGTTTCTGCCATCTTCACCCTTTCCACAGTCTCTCCAATGTGTCCCTGGGCAGAGTGAGTGGTACTGGGTCTGCTGAGTGACTAACTGATGAAGCAACACCTGACTTCACAGGTTGTGAATGCTATCTTCCATAGAATCCGCATCTTTGCGGGGCGATCCCTAGTCCCCGAATGATGAGTCTAGGAAAGAGAGGCCAGTGATCAACCAGAAAGCCCTTACTGAAGAGACAGTTTCTCACTGTTTGTGGACTCACTGTGAGGAAGTGAGTCATGATGTAGTCTGAAAGGTACACAGTTCAAAGCCACCAGTTGCTCCTCTCCTCTTATAAAGGGTTACAGGCTTGGAAGCTCGCAGGGGTCTTCTACCCTGTCCTATAGGGTGGCTATGAGTCAGCATCGACTTGATGGCAGAGAGAGAGAGAGATACATAGAGAAATAGATGATTGATGATAGATAGATAGATAAATAGATAGATAGATAGATAGATAGATAGACAGACTCTTCAAGTTAGCCCTAAAACCAGTCGTTCTTGGAAGGGAATTACTTTGTACTCAAAGGAAGGGACTTTGCTCTGTCCTTTACAGATGTATTGGCACGGACTCCCCTTTCCCACAGTGAAAAGCTATTTAGTGGTCTCCCTCCCTTCATCCCCGCTTTTGCTGTAGTAGTCACTGTCTGGAGCCCAGGACAGAGGAGTTGAGCAGGGTCTTGGTGATACCAGCGGCCTCCTTAACCAGAGTCTGCGCTGTAGAGAGTTGCCCTTTACGTTGTGTTACTTACAACTGCTGGGGAGGGCACGTGGATGCTTGCCACGGACCGTGGGCGCAGGTGGTTTGCCAGATGGCAGAGGACAACCCCGTCCATGAGTGCTGCCCCCAGGTCTTCGTGCAGGCTGACCTTGAGTCTCATCTCGATGCTCTGGTGGGAAGAATCAAAATGAAGTCTTTTGTGAGCAGCTACGATCGTAAAATGCTGTCCCAGTGATCTCTGAGTTCAGAGATAGGTTTTATTAGGAGGCAAAAGGCATTCAAACGCTTGGAAAACACTGAACATGATATATTTTCTAGAATTTCTACACAAAACTCCCTCTGTAGCTAAAGAAAAAATACACCAGTTGGGTCTACAACATTTAATTAGTAGAATGAAATCGATACTAGAATAATTGCCTGGGTTCCAGTTTTTTCTCAACCTTGGCTACGAACTGCAAACTGAGAATGAGGTGGCAAACAAAAACTACATCCAACTGGTTTGGGCAGGCTGCAGGGAGCAAACGGGGGTTTTAAAAATGCTTTTATGGTAAACTGTGTTTAGGTTCAGCAGCTCACACGTCTCCCCTTCATTTCTGAAACTTTTTAGTTTGCAGCATGCTAGATCCACGTCCCAAGATGCCAGCTGCTCAGTGCATTCCAGCCGATGCGACCCCGGGGTATGGCAAAAGAAATGATTTCCCTTTCTCCATGGAGCTTTTAATGGATACGGCTTCTTGTCTGTTTTCAAGTAAAACCACCAGGTCAACCTTCTGAGGGGTCTCTGGGAAAACGCCAACTTTGAACATTTGGGGTTAACGGTTAGGCACTTTGACTGCTGGCGCCACAGTGTAACGTCACACACAGGATTCTCCACACTCAAGATACTGCCATTTCCAAGACCACAAGGGTCTCCATGCTGTCCTTCGATAGCCAGCCACACGCTCTCGCTTGCCATCACTCCCTGGCTTTTCTACTTCTGCCATGTTGTCATTTCAAGGATGTCACATGAGTTAGTTAATTGTGCCAGCCTGGCCGATAATCACATGTGGGTCTGGTTGAAAGGCGGAGGGATAAATGGGTGGTGAAGCCTCGGCTTTCTAGTTCTCGGGTCTCTTGTTTTGTGATGGTTGCATCGGGTGCAGCTGCCTTAGCAGTTCCCTGCTTCAGCTTGCAAGATGGATTTCCTACAAGACATCCCCAAGGAGAAGCCGCATGGATCTATCCTGATGCAGCCCTGGGTGCTGGAGCAGCCATGTGGAGACCCCTGCTAGTGCCGAGATGCTTATTCATTCACTGACTGAGCTTTCCTCCTGCAGTCGGCATCATTGCCTCTGTTTTGTGAGGTGGAGGACTTTGTGGACTGGTGTTGGGTATGGGTTAATGTTGAACTTGTGGGCTTGGGCAGCATTGGGTTGGGATGTTTTCGTGATGCACATTTTCTTTGCATAAAACTCTCTCTTATACGTGAGTTGCTGTGGATTTGTTTCTCCAAAGTACCTAGACTAATACATCACATAAGCGCTTAAGTCTCTGCAGATTTACTCAGCTGATCTACAACCCACAGTTAAAGGGGAATATTTCCAGGTTGGGGATATTCAAATAAAGCTGGCGCGAACATTTCTGTTCAACTTCATTTTATGTGTGTGGACACCAGTTCTCACTTTCTTACCTTCACCAGCAGTATCTGAGTGTTCAATTCCTCATTCTTACCATGTTTTTTTTTAATCCTCATCATTCTGATAGTTGTGCACCAGCCGTTTGGCATTAACTAGCGTGTCCCTCACGACACCTGTAGTGAACGCCTTGCCACGCACTTATTTTCCGTCTACAGACAGCTGATGCGGAGCCTCTGGGCACAATGGTTAAGCATCTGGCTGCTAAGTGAAAGGCTGCTGTTTGAACCTGCCTCGTGATTCCATGGGAGAAAGACTGGAGATATGCCTCCATCAGATGACAGCCAAGAAAACTCTTGCCACGTGGGATCACGCTGGAATCTACGAAGAAGACTTCCGGGGCGCCGGGGGTGCAGTAGTTACACAATGGGCTGCGAGCTGCATGTTTCTCAGATGGAAACCACCAGAAGCTCTGGGGGAGGAAGCCTGGGCTTTTACTCTTGCAAACAGCTACAGTCTTGGAGACCCACAGGGGGGTTGTTTTGAGTCAGCATTGCCTTGATGGCAGTACGAGAGAAGATGACTTCCAGAGATGTTCGGGGTTTAAGATGTAAAAATAATCTCAGAGTGAGTTTCAGGGCTTCCCCAGCCTCGATCGCTCCAGAAGGCTGGATTCCAGGAGAATTTTAAATTCTTACTTTTGGATAGAATTTTCCTATAGAAACTTCGATAAAAACATGAAGGAATGGGAGCCAGATGCCATGCAGATCTTCCGGTCTCAAGGCAAAGGAGAGACAGTTGTTCATAAAGGCTAAACTTAGCCGCGTGGCCTCATTCTCTGGCTGACTTGCTTCCTCCCTCTATTATGTCAGGTGCATCGAGCACAGCCATTGCACCTTGGACAGCTGCTTGCAAGCTCTTCCGACGTCAGGCGCTGCAGAACAAAAGGAGGCGGCGAAGCAGACGCACTCGCGCAAAGGAGGCCTCTGACCAAAGGGAGTGTTTCATGAAACCAAGATGCTGAACCCCCAATCCTAGAAACGGTTCTACATCAGCAACCTCGGCAGCTGCATTTTTTGTTGTTTCCTTCCTTTTAAAGTTTTAAATGTTTATGAACTCTAATCACTATTTCCTTTTTGGATCATGGTTTTGGCCTCCAGTCTCAGGGCTCTTTGACTACAGCAGTGGTTCTCAACCTACCTCATGCTGCAAACCCTTTAATTCAGTTCCTCGAGTTGTGGTGAACCCGCCCAACCATAAAATTATTTCCGTTGCTACTTCATAGCTGTCATTTTGCTACTGCTATGAATTGGGCGACCCCTGTGAAAGGGTTGTTCGACCCCCAAAGGGGTCATGACCCACAGGTTGAGAACCACTGGTCTAGAACTTAGATGCTGAAAATATTTTTTTATTATTTTCTAGTTTTAGCAATTGCATTTAGGTGGGCGATCCACTTTGAGTTAACTTTTGTATATGAGACTCATGTCTCTGGACGTCCCGTTGCTGCGGGACCTTACTGAGGGGCCATCACTGCGCCACGGAGTCTGGGGAACTTCTCTCGCATCCAGCTGAGTGTATTCGGGTCCATCTGTCTCTGGGTTCCTGGCATTATTCCACTGATCTAGGCATTGATCCCTGACAGAACCCGATGACTCTCCACAATGAATTTGACAATCAGACTGATTGCCGTGTCATCACGCCTTTCGGGAATGTTTGAGCAATTCTAGTCCATTTGTCTCATCAGGGAAATGTTAGAAGACTCTTGTCTATAGCTGCAGAATCTTGACAGGAATTGCTTTAACCCCGTTCATTCAATTAGAATTGTCTTTTCTACTCTGTTCCGCAGTTCAATCCATGGACACAGTATTTCACTTACTTAGGTCTTTGATTTCTTTTATTAGGACTGGGTGGCTTCTGGAAGTGATAAGTCTTGTACATCTTTTACTAGATTTATACCTAAGCACTCTTTATTGTCCTTCTCAGCAATCATAATTGGCAGGGTGTTTTTAACTTTGATATCCGTATGTTCATTGCTAATGTAATAAAATGGATTTTTGCATGTTTATTTTTTATCTCGTGATCTCAGTTAACTCACTGACTGATTCTGGAGGGTTTGCAGGGACAGGCGGGCTCTCTGGGAGTTTCCACATACACTATCGTGTCTTCTGCAAAGACAATGCGCTTTATTTCTTCCTTTCTGATTTGTCTGCCCTTTTATTTTACCTTTCTTCCTGCCCACTGGAGCTGACGATTTTCTTTTGTCTTAACTTTAAAAATTATGCTTGCGCACTTCCTTACATGCATTGTTGTTGTTAGCAACGGCAAGGTTATAGAGCTGTTCAACTTCTCTTTCGTATTGAGTTGGGGTACCTTGAGTTTTCTGAAGGAGGGGGGCCATTTCATCTAGGTTGCTGGTAACATGTCCTTATTACTTTCTCTTACCGAGTTCTGTAGTGCTATGCGGTTTCCGGCCCCATCTCGACAGTTTGTATCTTCCCTTTTTCTCTTGTTACTATTTGTAACATTGGTCTTAACAAGGCAGAGCCCAAGGACCAGAGAGACGTGCCTACCTGCCTGCCTGAGAAGAGTCATTGTTGCGGACTTAAGTACTGTATCCTTAGAGTTTTTCTGATCTTCATTTGTAATCTGCTAACTGTTCTAATCATCCCCATAACCTTGAGCATTATCCTTGAGTTCTGTGTGGCCACAGCAGTGGGCTGTGGACCCCAACGTTGAAGTGGAGCGTTGTGGAACGGATGGCTGCTCACAGATTGGGCCAAAGGAAGCAGGAGGGTGGGGGCGTGTCTGACCTCGGCTGCAGAGGAATCACCTTTGGGCAGACGTAGAGCTGGCTTCTCCTTTCCCTGGTGTAGTCAAAGGAGGTGAGACACGGCGCCCACACCATGTCCTCAAAATCCTATCCTTTGGTTAAGGTGTCAGGTCGGCAGTTCAAACACACCCAACACTTTGTAGGAGAAAGATGAGGCTGTTTATTTCTGTAAAGATTTCCTTTATGTTTGTTTTCCAGAAGTATGATTTTCTATATGCTGTTGAGTTAGTTTATTGTGCCAATCTGGCCGATAAAACACATGTGGGGTTAAATGAAGGGCAGTGGGATAAATGGCTCGGTGAGCCTCGCCTTTCTAGTTCTAGGGTCTCTTGCTTTCTGATGGCCGGACCAGGGTGCAGCTGCCTTAGCCAGTTCCCTGCTTCAGCTGGCAAGGCTCACTTCCTGCAAGACGCCCCTGAGGAGAAGCTGCATTGACCTCCCCCGATGCAGCCCTGGGTGCTGGAGCAGCCCTGTGGAGACCCCTGCCAGTGCTGAGATGCTTACATGTTCACTGACTCGGCTTTCCTCCTGCAGTCGGCATCATTGCGTCTGTTTTGTGAGATGCAGGAAGACTCTGTGGATTGGTGTTGGACATATGGGTTAACGTTGGACTTGTGGGCTTGGGCAGCACTGGGTTGGGATGTTTTCTTCATGCACACTTAACCTTTATATAAAACTCTCATCCATGAGTTGCTGTGGGTTTGTTTCTCTGAAGTCCCCAGGCTCACACAGCTGGTGTGGATTTTTTAAGATCATTCTGTTTGAAGTTCACGCACATCCTTGACTTTAGAGGTGTGTACGGTCTCTTGCTTAATCTGCGAAGTTTCAGCCATTATGTCTCTAATTACTTTTTCAGGTCCATTTCTCCGCCTTCTGTAACTCTGGTGGCATGAACGACAGACAGACCGCTCTCATTCCACTGGTCCCCGGCACACTGTTGGTCTGACTGGGTAACATGGGTGTGTTCCACTTAAGTGCACGTTCGCTCCCTCTATTCCATTGAGGCGACCCCCCTGGTTTTCAGTTCCCATTGTTGTGAGTTCTACCATCCATTCCGGCGTCATTATATTTTCCATTCCTTTGCGAAGCGTTTCTCATTTTCCTTTCGGTCCATGTTCAAAATCCCTCTCTGAGGCAATTTGAATCATCGTTGCTTTGAAATCCTTGTCAGCTACTTCTAACATCTCTATGTTGGGACTGTAATTTATCAATTTTTCTCACTGACGTCATCTTCCTAATTCTTGGTGTGAAAAGTGACAATGAACTGAAACGTAAGCACGCCCGTATCATGAGAATCTGGGTTTTATTTAGGGGTCCTGGTGGTGGCAGGTGGGCGGTCACCGCCGCGAGGCTAGCAGTTCGAAATTACCAGCAGCATCTCAGGAGAAAGACGGGGATTTCGACTCTCCTAAAGAATATAGTCTCAGAAACTCACAGACGGTAGTTCTCCCATCCTGTACAGTTGCTATGGGTCAGCATCAACCCAACGGCAGTGAGAGGGAGGATTCTCTTATCTAAACCTTCTAGTTCAGCTTTTCAGCCCGTGCTCCGGCGGGGGAATACAGACACCACCCAGGCAGAGGTACAGTTCAAGTTTCCCACTCAACTTCCCCCGCCCCCTGAGGGAGAGTTTCCTTCTTGTGGCTGAGTGCAGGCAGGAGTTCATGGTCTCCGTGGGCACCGTGGGGTGCTACACTCACTACTGCTGGGTGATGATCAAAGTCCTGACTCCACTAGCTCTCCTCTCACACCACTCCACGGTGGGTGGGGGTGGGGGTGGGGACAGTAGCTTCTCACTGCTCAGTCTCTGCAGAGTCTCCACCGACTTTGTGGGAAGGGGTGGGGAGCAGCCTGCTACTGGCCAGTGTGGGTAACATTTCTGGCTCCTTACTTGGTCATCTTGACCCCAGCCCAGAAGGGGTCTTGGGTAAGGTGACCAGATTTAAAGGGGGATACCATTGACCAGGGGTGGGGGGAGGTTCTTGATTAAAAAGTTGGTCTATATGGACCAAAGAGACCGTTCCTTAGCTTGTTGTGCATTCTTTCAAAAAATCGGGACTTTTAAAAAATGCCAACAATCGGGACTGTCCCGCCCAAAGCGGGACGTCTGGTCACCTTAGTTTTGGGACCTGGTCATAGCACAAGGGAGAAGTCCAAGTTTGGCAGTCAGTCTCTGCTGGCCTGGCTAGGGTGGGGTCACAGGTTTGTTTTTTCCCCCAGAGTACAGCGGTTACAGATGAATAAGTTGACTGATTTGCTGCCCAGATGCTTTCCTGGTCTCTGACTGTAGAGAGAAGCCTTTTGTTGGGGGGCTTTCCCCCACCCCCGACCCCCTAACCTCCCTGACACCCCCCCCCCCTTGTGTTTATTGGTGCTTCTGAGCTTCAGCCTCTTTTAGCACCATGTCTGGAGTATATGCGGCTGAAATAAAACCCAAAGAACTTCCTTGGGTCCAGTTCCTAGGCAGCCCGCCTTCATTTTCCGCCTTCCATAGTTTGCTTATGTTTGTTTCACACAGATCACGAGGACTCTGTTTGCACTTTCTGACTATGGCATTCAGCAGGAAGAATAGGAAATGGTATGTCTACTTCATCTGCCTGGAAGTGGCGGTAGAGAAACCAGTTTTTCAAGAAAGACACACACACACACAACACACACACACTCACACACACACACACACACACACACACACACGGAAGTTTTTTATATTTTCTGCTAAATAGAGTTACCAAAAAATGGTGCCAAAGTTTTTTCTATTTTCTGCTAAATAGAGTTACCAAAAAATGGTGCCAAAGTGGTGCCCTGTCAGAGGTTGAAAACTAATGAGACCCGGAAAAACAAGGCAGCCAAATCGAGCCCCAGGTCCCACACATTTCCGTCCCCTCACTAGTTAGGGAGGGAGAGGGGAGACTTCTTTCTCTGACAGCTTCCGGCCCATGCAGCTTCTTTCACAGCTGTTAGCGGATAATGGATCGAGTGCAAGACAACGGATGTGGGCGCAACCTATTTTCTTGTGAATCTTATTTAGTTTTATAGGATGTTATGAGATTGATTGCTCATTCCTATCTCTGAACTAAGGATTTATGTTTCCTTGTTGTTTACGGTCTCTGCTATATGTCTAAATCTCTTCTGTAAGCAGAGTTCTTGGTCTTGCCTATAAACCATCACCTAGAATCCTAGCCAGCCCAGCGCAGCCATGGATACTGTTTGCTTGTGAAACAGGATGAAGTAGCATAAGCTGGATCTCTTCCAGGAAGGATTTTCGTTTTGTTTTCTAAGATTCTTCTAGTTCACAGCTGTCACCCCTTTCTTTAAGCCTAAGAACACAGGAGTCTCTAATGAGCCGCCGCAAATAATCAACACCCGTGTGTTGGCCCTGGGACTGTTGTCTGACCTTTCAGCTACGCAAAGGTCGCAAGGGAGGCAAATACTACCCACGATTTTATCAGGGGCTGTGCTGCGATAGAAATCTAAGAGGAACATGACAGTCATTGTCCCTGTTGTCACCAAACCTAAAATCTAGGGCACTCATCCCAAGGCACCCCACCCTGCTCAGAGCGCCTCTAACCCATGTGGAGGACAGAGTGAGACGGAATCAAACCATTCATAATGAACAAAATATCATGACGAGGCAAATTAGTAAGAGGCTGGTAACCAAAGGTTGGTGCTATGACCGCCCCCACCCCATTCTGCTCCGTGCGTAGGAGCCATGGCCATCTGCGCCTGCTGAGGACACCCCCTGGGTGTTCTGTGGACTGTGTGCACTTCTATTGTGTCATACAGGGTCACTGAGAGTCAAAATCTGATGCAATGGCCCCAAGAATCACCACAAACATGCGATGCTGCATTATTTTAAAATATAAATAAATTACAATAATGTTGGAGTATTTTAAAATATAAATGAATGACAATAATGCTAACATTTATACATAATGTATCAGGTATTTACTAATATGATTCCTTACAAAGCCCCTTTAGGTAGACTGGAACTAATTTTTTAATAGATAAAAAATGGAAGTTGAGGGGTGAGAAGTGAATTGCCCAATATCAAAAATCAGTAAGTAACCTATAGATTTGAAACGATATTTGTGTGCAATGCTTCTAAAGCACACCTGTATATATGTACGTGTATATATGCGATGCTGCTTGAATTCTGCAAACTGCTACTCCATTATGTAATAATTGGGGTACCTCGCGGAGTTGGTCCACCAGTTCTTTTTCTTCTCTCATCTGTTCCATTTTCCTCCGAATTGTAAACTGTGGGTCTACAGATTCCAAATTTCTCTGAGGTCTTCCAAATACTGTAAAATAGAAAGAGGCTGTATGTAGCACCTTCTACTGGCTGCAAGGCATGTCTACTCAGATTAAAACGAGTGGTTTTCTTTGTTCAGCCCAAATAATCATGTAATTCTACAGAACCAAAAGAACTCTACTCAACATGGAAAGCTATGCTAAGAGCACGCCTAAGCAGCTGGCTAACTCGCTCGGCTGCTAACAAAAAGGTCGCAGGGTTGAGTCCGCCCAGAGGAACTTTGGAAATAAGGCCTGGTGATCTATTTCTGAAAAACTGACCATGCAAACCTCGTGGCATCCAGTCCTGTAGATAGGGCGCTGACTGTCTTTGAAGCATTCTCTATTTAGGCTCTATGAAAGTTACGGCATCTGACAGGGAATCCAGGGCGGATGATCCCTTCAGGACCAGTGGTGAGAGTGGCGATACTGGGAGGATGGAGGGAGGGTGGGGTGGAAAGGGGGAACCGATTACAAGGATCTACATGTGACCTCCTCCCTGGGGGGCGGACAACAGAAAAGTGGGTGAAGGGAGACCGGGCAGTGCAAGATATGACAAAACAATGATTTACAAATGATCTAGGGTTCATGAGGGAGGGGGGAGCGGGGAGGGAGGGAAACAATGAGCTGATGCTGGGGGCTTAAGTGGAGAGCCGATGTTTTGAGAATGATGAGGGCAATGAATGTACAAATGTGCCTGACACATTGGATGGATGGATGGATTGTGACAAGAGTTGTAGGAGCCCCTAATAAAATGATTTAAAAATAAATAAATTAAGTAAAGGGAAAAAAATTGGAGGGAAAAAGTTGCGGCGTTTGGGGGCAGACTGTTATACACTGAGCTACGAACAGCGAAGTCAGAAGTTTGAACCCACCAGCCATCTGTAAGGGAAAGATGAGGCTGGCTGCTCCTGCCAAGATTTACAGCCTTAGAAGCCCGGGGAGCGGTTCTCCTCTGCCCTAAAGGGTTGTTATGAGTTGGTGTAGACTATCAACTGTAATTTTTAGGGACAGTCCATCAAATACAAGAAGGGGGTTAGGGCATCATTAGAATTTTTCCAGGCTCTTCGCCACTGCTTCTAGTTCAGTTTTCGTTTCCATCACATTTTCCACAGGCCTTCCATTCCATTCAAATAATTTGTCTTAAATAAAAAGAAATAAGAATGGGTTTACTCATTAAAAATATGCACACTGCTTCCCACCTGGCTGGGTTCAATGCTGAGGGATGCCATTTCATTTTCAGGTGCGGATGGAAAAGCATCCCCGAGCCACCGGAGGAGCCCCGCTGCGGCAGTGGCTGTGAGCTGGGCTGCAATCGGCACCATGCACAGTGTGGAACTGGCAGCCGCTCCAGACTCAGGCGAAAGATGGGGCTTTCAAGTCCCCTGCAGAGTCCCAGTCTCGGCAGCTCACTGAGGCAGTTCGACCCTGTCCTATAGGGTCGCTATGAGTCGGCAGTGCGCTTGGTTTTGGTCTGAATCACGTTTCAGACAGCGGATCCCGAGAGTGAAGTCGTTCTCAGGGATGAGAATGGCCTTATCGTGCAGAGGACGTGGGGACCTGGTCACTGCACACGCGGTTCGGTTAAACTTTAACACCGCTTCATCTTGCTCTCCCTTTTGACCCATTTTAAATGGGTTCTAGGTTTTAATATTTTCTGCTTTCTTTTTGATTCAAGTGGTTTTGGGGGTTATGTTTCACTTTGTTATTGCTGCTGGCTTTCCTTAGGTTTTGCATGTTTTCCTGTCTATGAAATCCAGGATAGGTACCTCCATAGAGAAAGTACCTTGATTAATGGTTTTGGGAGGGTATGGCTGGTGGGGGGGGGGGGGAGGAGAAATGAGGAGTGCGCTAATAACAGTGAGTGAAAGAAAGAAGAAACTGTCCTAAAGTGGATGGTGGTGATGATGATACAATTCTTTTTAACACGATAGAACTATTCAAGGGTCTGACATGTTCATTATTTGCCCCCCAGTTGTGAACAACACCCCCCAAACAAAAGGCAAGGTCTTTTAGAAATGAGCAAAGACTCGTTTCAGAAGGCTGGCGGATGAAAGGCAATTCATGAGCTCTTCATGGGCTCCAGGTGCTTAGGGCTACAGGCACTGTCATTAATAGCATTTCTCCCGCGGAAAGAATCAGTCGCCTGCCCCAGAGAACACGGAAGACGCTACATCTGTGACGGATGACTGAGGGGCAGCCGAAAGGTGTGCAAGGCCTTCCCTACAGCACAGTGCTAAAAACAAGGGCTACGTATTTTAGGGTGATAAAACGGATTTGCATTTGATTTCTCCGTTTTCCTTTTCTTCTATTACGGCTGCTGATTTTTCACACGTCCAAGGGTGGGCCAGGGAGCTATTTTATGTCATCTTGGGTTGGGGGCTCACCTGTCCTATGGCCCTTAAGACTGGGTGTAGACAGGGACAGGCAGGGAGCGGGTGGATCCTATAAGAACTTTGGAGCCCAAAACTCCCTTTAGAATTCAAAACCACGTAGAGGTGTCTTGGCATACTGCAATTCTCATCGTTTCACTACCCCAGATTTTAAATGTTAGAATAAGAAGACGGGGGAAAGGTAAGCGATTAGAGAGCTTGATTAGTAGTTTCATTAGTTGAGAACAAGTTGATGATCTGAAATGTAAGCCCCGATCCAATTTACAAAAAAAAAAAAGTCAGATGATGAGGGTGTGATGGTCATCCTCTTCTGAAGAACACTTCTTTCATTAGTTACTTTTCAGTCCTTTCCAACTGGGGTTGAAAATTGGGGTTTGGGGTTTATATTGGGGTTTATAAAATAGAATCTGGTTTATATATATGTTTAACAAAAAGATCTGGGTCTACACCATATAATTAATTATCCTCATGCAAATAAGGTATTTTCATTTGAATTTGCACCTTTGAGCAAAACCACCTGAACAAATGGCTTGTCTAACACCTCCTGCATCTCGGTAGCATATCCGGATCAGCCTTCTGGCTCTCTAAGGAAGACTACACAGCTGAGCCATCCAAGCAACCCTCAGGCGCCGTGCAGAGCAAGCGCACGGAGACTGAGAATGAGCGAATGCACATTCACCCTCACTGGGGCTGCAAATGGGGTGCGTGACCCCCAGTGTGACACAGGCTGAACCAGTCTAGGGCGTGTCTCAGAGGGGGTGCCAGCAAGCCGCCGAGAGCTGGGCTCCACCAGAGGTGAGCCGCCGGATCGCAGCAAGACCAGCAAGGGAAGACAAGGAATTCACAGCAGGGAGAAATACGTGGAAAACCTGACAAGTTAGGACATACAGAAGGAAGTGGAAACTGCATGCAGCTTGCTTTTGCATCACAGGAGTCCCTGGGTGAAAGGCTGGAGGTCTGAGTCTCACAGAGATGGCCTGAGTCTCCACCCGAGAGAACCAGCCACTGCAGCCCCTAACCAAGCGCAGCTCTGCTCTGCCCCACGCGGGGGCACCACGCGTGGACCAGCTTGACAGCGGTTGGAACCCACCAACTACTAAACCGGAGAGGATGAGGCTGTCTGCTGTAAAGATGTAAAGTCCCAGAGACCCAAAGGGGTGGTTCTACTCTGGCATAGGGAGGCTCCGAGTCGGATTCGACTCAGTTCAATAGCCTACGGGTTTTTGTTGTTCATAATCCACACGATATAAGCCACACAATAAGCATTCATTTAGGAGTAGCAACCAGAATATATCAAAGTGGGTATTCTACAATGAATCCATTCCACCAAAGAAACGTCAACTTGCCCCAAACAGTCAAGCAACGTGGACAGAAGCGGGCAGCACATATAAGCCAGCAGGGGGCGGCCAACACCGTAGACACAAATGCAATGTTTTCTTTGGAGGGTTCAGTTTTCTTTGCCCCTGCCTGCCCAGAGGCAATATTAGCGAATGCCGTATGTTTCATATTTTCAATGATGTATTTACTGGCAGATTTCATTCTGATTATGAAACTATGCGGAAGTTAAATGAACCACGGGCTTTTGTTAGACAGCACACGGTTCACATGCCTCGCCTTGTTGGAGCCCTGTGTGCGAGAAAGGGATTGTGCATGAGGGCTCTCTGTTCATCACGCGTCCTTTTATAGTTCCAAAATCCAGAATGCCTGCTTGGGCATTGGCTGCATGAATGTTAAGCAATCCCAACAGTATTGGACTGTGGCGTTCCATGGGAACACTTGGTGCACAAATTAAGCCCAGGTGGCATAGGGTGGTGTTGGGCCGCCAACCGCAGAGCCAGCAGTTGGAAACCACCCGCCTTCTCGAGAGAGAAAGGTGAGGCTTTTTACTCGCTTAAACAAGTACAGTCTCGGAGGCGCAGTTCTAGCCTCTCCGGTTGGGTCACTGAATCGGCATCGAATGGATGGAAGAGAGAGCAAGGCGGTAAGATGAAGCGATTTCTACTACATTTGAGAATCTAAGCCAAACTCATTCATTCCCACAGGGTCACCCATGACGGACAGGCTTCCGGAGAGCTTACAGACTGAGAGAAACTTGGAAGCAAGGCCTGGAGATGCCCTTCGGATAAACCTCTAAGGATCACATGGGAGCACCGGCAGGCATGGTGCTGGGCGTCATTAGGAAAGACCAATCACTAAAGAAAGGCAGCCAGGTTCCCTCCAAAATGCAAACACTCACAGAGAAGGACCGGCACAATGATGGCTATGATGGCTCAGGAAGGCGCTGGCACCCGGCGGGCCACGGGACGCTTTGTCATGCTGAACATGGAGGCACCGTGAGTGGGCGCCAGCTGGATGGAAACTAACAGCTGTCATTTTTCAAACTGTATTGGGAAATGTAACCAATTCCCCAGGTCAGTTTGAGACCACAGAGAATGAAGATCAGACCCTACAATATTGCAAAGAATATTTTGGAACCAAAAATTATATCTGTTCAAAATATTAAAGATTCTTTTGGAACCAAAAATTATATCTGTTCAAAATATTAAAGATTCTTTTGGAACCAAAAATTATCTGTGTAAAGATACTATAAAAAGTATCTTACAAAGCCCACATGGAAG